GTAGGGAAACGTGTTTCAGAAAAACGTAGTAAATACACGATGTTAAGTATTTTCAAAATATTCAGAAAAAATATTTCTGTCTTTAAAATCACTATGTGAATAAATTAAAGAAAATTCTGCTTTATGATCATCCCTTAAAACAATTTTGAGAAATATATGGATCAAGCCTACAATTTCATATGGAAAGTTAGTTGTCTAAATTGGCTTGTTATCTAATTCAAATGGTAAATATCGGGTTACGAGAAAGAATTGTGAATCGATATTTGAAATCAACGTTGTAAACAACTAAAGTAATATTGTACTTGAAAAACAGTTGAAACGTTTTTTAGTTTTGACTCGACATCTTCGCACGAGCACGAGTAATATGAGAAAAGAGTAATAAGGTTCGGTTCTCGCTCCAGGCGCAGCCTTGAGATCTAAATCAGCGTTAATTATAGGCAAAACCTCAACTCGGACTTCACGGACTCGGCTCTGGGTTCGGCGGAAAAGTCGCCTCTACCCTACGGGAACTTCCAGCTGCGCGACTCCACGGTTCAAAGTATCTTGCGGCACCCACGATACGGTCCCCGCAGCCCCCTAGCCAACAATTCCTACACGTACCTCAAGTTCGGGCTGCCTCGAGTCCTGCCTCCATCAAACCTACGCTCGGGCCGCGATGCCGGCTCCAGCGGCTACGACTCCAGTGAAGAGGGACGGGTCAGGGCCGCAGCTAGTGGACGAGTCTCTGCTTTCGCTTGTCTCCCATCTATGCGCTCCGCCAGAAGCGACCCCGACTTCCGCAACAACGTATCGCCTCAGGTGTGTGCCTTCATATTTTGATTGCCTCTAGGTTGCGGTTATAAGAGGGCTAATGCGCTACCCTCGTTTACTCATTTAGCAGCACGCGTAAGAGAATTTTCTTTTATTCGCCGCAAGCAAACTCGCAGGAATTGCACAAAAGAGCAATTGATTTTTTTATCTACCTATTACAGCGTCAGTTCACATCTCAATTCAATAATTAAACAACATTAGTTATTTTCCCTGCTACGAGCTATATATTTTTAGATGCAATTGTAGTACTCCTAGACATTTCCATTCATTTACGAAATTTTAGCAAATCTATCCGTATGAAAAACGCACGTAATTCACGGCGAAGCATAACAAAGATCCAAATTAATTGAAAAATGCGTGTTTGCAAAGATTGTAAATTCATATATTGCTGGTTCGTAAATCGTTATCGATGACTGTTCAATAAATAGAAGCACTGTTATAAAGAGAAGTTCTAGTGGTAAATAGTAGCAAATCTTAGAATAAAGATTGAAAATAATATAGGCCGTGAAGGAAGAAATAGTAATAACAATAACAACAACAACAACAACAACAAAACATTCTTCGTATATTAAGGGCCGAGACAACCATTCGCACATCGGTATGTATCATCACCAACAGCACAATCACCACCATCACATACTCAAGCCGGTTAACCGAGAATCGCGCATGCGCAGCGCTAGCGAGGCCAATCTCCTGCAAACAACGACCTCGCCGACGGCAATCAGCTTGTCTCCCCGTCCAATGACCAACCGAAGGCATAGTATAGCTCCCATCGATCCCGGTCATGTTTATGATCGTCATCCCGCCCATATATTGCCTCCGCAGTTACTTCAGCAAAGTATGCACCACCAACAACAACAGCAGATGCAACCGCCTCAGCATCCCCATCTTCAAATGCGTGGCATTGAAGCTAATGGTCGATTAATTAAAGTACGATTACCGTCTATTTAATCCACTTGATACTATTTATACTTCATAACATTATCTCAACATCATCTCTAATGATCCTCTAAATGTCAATTATGAGTCCTATGTTAATTCAGTACATTGTATCAAATATCTAAACTTGAAGAGCGTGAAATCTTCAAATAATCCGTCAATATTATGTATTTTGAAGTATTGAAAAACAGAAAACAAATCTCAATTTTATCTACACGAGCATATATTTATGAAGATATATTTTTTTTTAATTGAAGTAAAACTTTTCAATAAAATATATTGCTATTTATTTGATGTGCTATTATATTATCAAAAATTTCCATCTCGATAATTAAGAACACTCGATTATTCAAATGATCATAATTTAGTTAATAATTGAATTCATTCCGTTTACATTAAAAATTAAAATTTTAATTAAGTTAAAATGCTCGAGCAAGTTTTATTCGAAATATTTTTATTTAATAATTCTTCTTACGACCTGATGATTATCAATCAAATTCTGAATGAATAATCACAAAATCGACTTTTATATTTATTGAAGAAAAAAACTTACAGTTACTTAATATGCATTCGTTATATTTAAAAAAATATAATTTTTTGAAGTTTCACAAACTGTAAGTCAAATGAAAATGGATTATATTATCGACTAAATGAGTAATTTAAAAAAAAAATTAAATTTTACAGAATGAAATAAATCCAATAACAAGTCTTAGCTTATTTAATAAATAGCCTTCTTATAGTTAGAGTGTAACTTACAGCATACATACTTTAAACTAAAAAAAAAAGCTTTAAGCTTTTCTCCATACAAATTTCTCGAGCCAAATAACAATAAAATATGTTATATTAGATGAAAATCTTACATTAGGTATCGCAAAACAATGGATTATTAAATAGATTTTATTTTCTAAGAGTGGAGCTACTTATCTACGAGGCATCAACCTGGAGGCGGGAGCGGGAGATATCCTAGCTATCATGTCAACGAGTGAACGGGAAGGCACACTGATAATGGAGACGATATCGGGTAGAAGACGAATTAGGAGAGGAGATATATTGCTTAATGGTAGGCCAGTTTCTGATAAAACTTTAAGGTACGTTGTTAGTAGAATTTTGTTATACTGTTATTTCAAGCTATACCATTGTCCTTATAAAAATAAAGAAAAGGGTAGAATGAAAAAAAACTTACAAAATATAATTTGTACTATTGTATTAGTGAAAAGCACAGTACACAATTGATCGGTTTATTAGGACGCTAAATTTGCAATGCTTTATTCATAAAATTCTTATTAAAACGAACCAAAATCTAAAAAATGTTTTGTCAATGTCCTTATGAATATTTAAAGATATTCTATTGTATTGAAGACGTGAATTTACTATTTTAAATAAAACGTGCCATTTAAAGCTGGTAAACGAAATTATCAGTCAATATTATTAGTATCAATTTTATTTTAAGGATAAAGATGGCGATATAATCGAGCTGTAAAGTACGAGACTAAATATTAAATGATACAATATATTTAGAATACTATTATCCTAAAAATCATTGCATATTCATTTCAAATTATAGCCTTAATGATCTTATACAACATAGATTGTTTAATTCATGCTCGTAGAGCCAATGTTAAGCAATGCAAAATAATCGTGAATAATAGTGCCTTTAAACTTAAAAAATTAGAATTTGAATATTATAGGCCTCTGATGCTTCAGATCATCGGTGGCCTACTTATCAGCGGACACTCCGGAAGCAGGTTTGAGTCCTGGTCTCACAGCCTTCCAATGCTTGAGCTTTTATCGGTTAGTCCGCGGGGCGACAGGGGTCTCCTATCTCGAAACCGAGTCCATCCTCCAAGAACTCGGACTGGAAGCGACGAAGCATTGCCTCGTCTCAAGCCTCACCTGCTCTGAGTCTCGTCGACTGGCCCTCGCCTGTCGACTCATCGAGGGCACGCAGATTCTTAGCTTGGACAAGCCGACGCGTGGCCTCGACATCTTCGACGCCTTCTTCCTCATCGAATACTTGAGACAATGGGCTCTCAGAGCGCAGAGACTTGTCTTCTTAACTTTACATCCACCCACTTATGAAATCCTTACAATGCTATCGAGGGTCGCTCTCACCTCTGGCGGTAGACTCATGTACTCGGGGCCAAGAAGGGACATACTTCCATATTTTGCCTTAGCTGAATTCCCGTGCCCGCCCTTTAAGAACCCGTCTGATTACTACCGTAAGCCATACGTTATATTTTTTATCTTTTAATATTGAAATTAAGCAACAAATTGATTTGTCTACAATTTTTGTTTTCGTCATTGTGTCATTTCGAATACCTGCATTTCAGTTTTTATTACAAAAATGGTATAACGACTATGCTTTCATATTTTCATTGTCAATTACATTGATTATAATTATGTTACTACATAATATCCGCTCGGTATTTTGTCCAAAAGAAACTATGATGATGATCAATCAATCAAAAGAAATTATTAGGTGCTTCATTTAATAATTTGAGTAAAGTATGACAAAATATATTTTATGCATTTCAAGATTTTTCAAACGTAGACGTTATAACAAACAAAAAAGATAATAACAATAATAATGATAATGATAATAATAAATAAATAGTGATATCATGTAAGGCTGATGAGTAAGATTAATTAATGCAAAATTCTTCAGTCGACTTGGTAACGCTGGATGATCTATCTGCTGAAGCGATGCTCGAGTCTTCGCAACGAATCGAGCATTTAGCCGAATTGGCCAGAGCACGGCTTCCACCACTCAGTGATCCAGGTCCACCAGGTCCTCTGCCCTCCTCTAACTTGGGTGCAAATATATTCGTCCAAACATATGCACTATTTCTGCGCAAGCTTGTCTACAGTCAGCCCTGGAATACAGCTATGCTCTTTCGCAAAATCTTTGTGGCTACGTCACTCAGTGTAGTGCTCGGATCCATTTTCTGGGACGTTTCCAATGATGCCAATCTTCACCTGAGAGACAGAATAGGCTTTCATTACGCAAGTCTAGGAATACTTTTTTGGCCACTTAATTTGCTTGGTATAGTCGAAACAATAAAATGTAGAGCTGGTGTCGAGAGGGATATCGAACATGGCTTATACAATAGATTCGTTTATATTGTCGTTGAGGTAAGATTTCATATTTTAACTTTTATTATTTTGTAATTATGAAATTTGCCCTAAAAATATAGAAAATAAAATTAACAACCTTTTATGAATTTTAATAATATTATATAAACATTGCGGTAATTATCCAATGATACATCACAAAACTATTTAATTTTTTTGTCATAGTCTCCTTTAGCAACTTCTTTTTACTTATAATCCATGCATAAATTCTAAAATATAATACCTACTCATCTGTACCTTGCAATAAGCAATACACGATATTGTAATAATTATACACAGTGGCAAAATTATTACATCATTTAATAAAAGCTAATGATAAAATAAATATATTAACAATTAATAGTATGCTTTATTGAACATATGTTAAAACAGTGAAAAATTCTCTTAAATTAAATATATAAAAAATTAATTTATTATGAATTGATTATAGAGCTTATTGATAACAAGATAAATTTTTTTTATATAATGAGCACCATCGAATCTTTGATAAAAATAATTTGCACATTCACTGGAAAGAAAAACAAAATTGAATACCATTAATTAAAGAGCAATAAAATCGTGCGATAAAATAATTCAATGTGTTTCGTAAACTCGTAAAAACATGGATTACTCAAAATTGTTTAATCGACAAATCTAAATTTGTTAAAATCATAAGTAAATGAGATAAGTAGGATAAATCGTGACAAGAGGCATCATTTAATTTGGCGCCTTCGGGATTTCGTTGCGTAAACATTGATGAAATACATTCAACGAAATCTATTTATCAGACGAATTAACGTATCTAAATCAATAATGGTATCTTATAAATATTCGTGCATAATTAATTGTGAAAAATGTATGAATTCAGCTAATATGCAGTTTACCGTCCTGGAGTCTCATCTACGTCTCATACTTGGCTCCAGCATTTGCCATGACGGGTCTGCACTTGGCCTCCTCGCACGCAGCCGATTCCGGTCTAATATCCACCGATGAAAATCTCGAGAGCTTGTGGCGATACCTAAATGTTGGCCTCGTTTATCTTCTTTTTCAGCACTTCTTATGTATCCTCTTTACCCGCCTTTGTGGCAGCTCCTGGACCTTTTTGGCCCTTCTTATATCCGGCATCGCTATTGGGGAGACGACTCTCGGCGCGGGCCTTACTTTGCACCTGGACAATCTTTATCCGTGGTACGGATTGGTGAGTCCATTGAGATGGGTATTTTCGACACTTCTACCGCCTCTGCACAGCCCCGAACTTATGGCACGACTGAAAAACTGCAAAGCTAAGCAGATACAACGTCAGGACATCATCACTCAGAGCGCATGTGAAATGCCCGATGGTGCATTGGCGCTCCGAGAAATCGCATTGAATAATGTCGTTGTACATATTCAGGATGGATGGCTACTGGTGTGTTTGGGAATTCTATTAGTAGCCATAGTCACAGTCTTTTTAACAATCAAACATTCGCCGAATAAGAGCTCTCTTAAAAGCATGCCTAATAAGCCTTAGTACCTTGTGCGATTTTTTTCTCTCGAGATTTTCAAATTCTATTTGAATAATTTAGTCCTTTTTTCGACTACTCAAAGGTAAATGGATTTTAAAAGTCAGCCGACCTTGTATAAGATGTAAAATGCGCACATGTGTAGGCGCAATGCAATAATGAATATAATGTTCGTGCAATGTTTATGCTATTCTATAATCTACTTTCGGATATGAACAATTTGCAAAAAATCATTCTCTTTGCATAGAATGAATTCAACTTTAATGAATTTAAGAACGTGAATGAAAACAATGAAAATAACTGTTCTTTTATTACATCCAGTGCAATCAATATATAATTTCGTTTTCATTATATATATATATATATATATATATATATATATATATAAATGAAATACACACGTTATTTGCGGTGCCATTCCGTAGTTATTTTAAACAATATTTATTTAATTTCAAATATATTTATATAATAAGAATTCAAAGAACTTAAAAAGTATCATAATAAATATATATCAGAATTCCACAAATGTCGAATTTATTAAATAATAGCTCTGGTAAAAAGTGAATTTTTTTTTTTAATCAAACAAATCATTTATAAAGTGCATAAAAAAAATTATTCCAAAAAATGATCAATCAGTCAAATTCAGAGATTAGAATGTAATAACAATAAAATGTGTTTTAATTACTTAGATATACTTTTTTCATAATCTTAGTTTTTTATTAAACTGTAAAGACTTGTAAAACATTACATAGAAAAATGACACTAAGAATGAATGAGAAAAATATATTTATAATATATTGAACATTTTCTTTGATTTATTTTTTAATTAATATAAGCGTATATTACTATTAAAATTTAAATTTTTTAATTTCATTCTGAATTAGTTTAATAAGATTATAGATACTTTGATATTATTTTATAATCAACTATTTTAAATGTAACTTAACTGTATTTATTAAAAATGTTTATATTTATAGTATTTTAAATCAAGTTTTTTTTATACAATTAGAGATTTGGAGAAATTTTTTTACAAAAATATTGCATATTTAAGTTTTATATAGATACATATTAAATACATAAATATTTACATAAATTTAAATTATAAATATTAAGGGAATATTGTACAAAAAAACTTTGAAAATTATATAATATGTAATATCACTCGACTAATTTTATATTTAAAATTGTTATGAACATTTATAATTTGTTTTTATTTTGGACTTATTAAATTTTTGCATTATTCGTTATTGATAGATTATCTGTCATATACATTTTACATATTTATTGAGACTATCGAATAGTAATTTAAAAATTACAATCAGTATAAAATAAACATATACTATATTTGTATAAAAAAAGAAAAAGAAAGGACAAACAGCTATACTATTTCAAGAATGAATTCTTAGTTCTAATTATTTTAAATACTAAAATGTTTATCTTCTTTTTTAAAATAATTAATAAAAATCGAGAAGTATGAAAGAAGCAGGATTTGTTACTATAATTATTTTAATAGTATAATTTTTTTTATATGGTAATATGATCAATTTTTTTTTTCCATTCAAATATAGTACATTTTCTATTTAAAAATGTATAAACATTGGATTTTGCAATTGTACAATGAAAAGAATTCATCGAAGAATAACTGAAATTATTAATTATCGTTACTCTTTTTATATTAAGAATGCATAAGGCTACGTTTAAATTATTTAATATAAAGATAATTAATAAATTAATGAATTACTTATTGTATAATTATTCGTTTAAGATTTTATGTAGAATCAAGCATTATATTATTCATAATTTTAAAATATTTGAAAAATAATCTCACATTATAGTTAAATTTATGTTTTAAAATTTGTAAAAAAGTATTATTTATAAGAAAATTATCTATAAGAAATTAACTTATTTCTAATGTATTTTTGATAATTAATTGTAATAACTTATAATTTTAGTTACAAGATCCAACTGTCATTATAGTATATATTGCACAACTAAATTATAAGATAATATAAACATAAACATAAAATAAATATAAAAATATTAAATAAATCGCTAAATATCATAGTAGTAGATATGTATATAATGTAAATAAGTTATGAAAAAATGAATTATTTCTTTGATACTTGATAAAAATGTTTAATTCAATAATAAGGACAATGTGAAACATTATTTAGTATTTTAAGTATATGTATATGTGTATATATATACACATAATATAATATAATTTACTATATCTATTATCAAGGAATTGTTTATGAAATTAAAGTAACATTTTATAGATTTAAATAATTCACATAGTTTCGAAATTTAATATAGTGTAAGACTAACATTATAAAAATATTGCTACCCTAACTTGGTATTGTATATAGAATTATTGAATACATTTTTCAATTATGATTTTGTAAAAACTAAATAAATTAAATATAAAAAATTATTAATAAATTTATTAATTTATTTATTTATTAATAAAAGTTTTAATTATGTATTGACAATAAATTATTTAATATTCGAAAATGATTACACTTATTTGCTGAAATAAATGTAATTTATAATAATACGTTTTAAATAAAATTTGTTCACTTATTTTTTAAGAAAAATAATAAATAGTAATATTTTTGGAAATATTAAAACATCACATCGTTACCACCCTACGAGCTTCAGTTGTATTAAAGGACTAACTGATATAAAAGTACTATTGTTCAATAGAACAATTGTATCAATATTGAATATAATACGACAAATAAATTTAAGGAAGTAGTCAAAATATGGAATATTAAATATAATCTATAAAGTTATAAATAAATAAAAATAACGAAAATTGATGTGACATGATAGGACCTCCATTAAATATATATATTTTATGATATATATATATATATAAATATATGTAAATGAAGATTAGATATAACAGTATTCGATGGGTGTGATTAATGTTATTTACAATAGTACATTAAAATGTGTATTTTGGCTTTCGGATATTGTGACGAAAATTACCAAACACACTAACAAAATTCAATACTTTTTGCAACACGGCAACTTCCTGCGATGCCTCCTTATTTTTTATTACTATAAATTTGTCCAAATTTATAAGGAAGATGTAACCAACAAAAGCTCCTTATCATTATTTTTGCTAAATTTGGCAATCGTTGATACCCGGGGCTTGAACGTTGCCTGCTAAACAAAGAATGAGACAGTCACAATGTATAGGCCAATTGAAAATGAACGAACGCAGAGGAATCGAAGCAGTCATCGCGTTAGCTCGACTGAATTCCACGCGCTGCACGTGAATGAAAGACAAGACTTGGCCGAGTGACTCGCGTACTACTGTGCCTCGAACACGCCACCGCCGTTGAATCGCGGAAGGCACACATAAGTTAGACGCCACGGGCGCACACTCGATAGAGTTCTCCACGAAATGGCTATATAACTGATTGGTTCGTTAGCACACATAGGCTGATGAATCATCGTGCGTGTAGATCACCTGTCCGAATCGCACCTTGTTCTTTACGTATGAACGTGTGACGCGAATCTAGATATCGAACGCTTGACGGCGGCACAGTGTACAATAGGCCCCTCCACCGCCTTATTCTCCTTCGCTAGACAATACGGATTCCCGTATTTGTGTTCATTCTTCATTTCGAAGAAAATCCAACAAAGCTAACTAATCCTTTATGATTCAAAGCATTTCAGCGCCTCTTCTCCAAGTATTCTGTATATGTATACATGTTATCGGACGAAGCTACGGACTTGGAAAGCATATACGGCGCTGCTCCCTAACTGCTAGGATACTTTTAGTTGGTAGAACGAAACATTAGAGTGTAAAAAGAGAAGTGAGGGAAGGCAGAAAGAAGACAAAGAGATGTAGAGGGAGAGAGAGAGAGAGAGAGAGAGAGAGAGAGGAAGAGACAGAGAGAGGCGCGTAGTATGTTGGTGTAATTACTAAATCCTGAATTTTTATTTTTCTCTTCCTTTTTCTCCTTACTCCTTCTCTAGCAGAATCATACTATCGCACCGCGGTTGCACAGCATCATACATGCATACACAAATTTGTACACGTGCATATATATATATATATATATATATATATATATATATATAACACATTCTATTACAGAATAATATATATTTACATGCATAAAGCAATAGGCGTTATGTAGACGACGTATCGTATCTTGCTTCCTGGCTAATACTTTAACCATATACGTGCCGTACACATAACGGGCTCTCTTTTCTCAAGTCACATTTGACCAAGTAGAAACTTTCAGTTTCGTCGATTCAATATAGATAACTAAACGCTTCTATCTACGATATATCATTATTTCATTCTTCCGATATAAATTCCAATCCAAGTATATATTCAGATCATAGAAAATTAATTGATTTGTTCGCGGTACTATCTTGTGCTACCTTGAAAGAAAATTCATACTTTAGATATGTAATTTTTGCACTTATCCGAGGAAAGTTGAATTTATTATAAAAATGAATTTCTAAATCTTAGCATTCTTATATTTACTTTTTAAGAGAGACGACAGATATATTATAATCCAGTATTTTTGGAGACGTAATAATTATGAAACTCTCGTTGATTTAAATTTCATATTTTATCATAAAATTCGAACATCTTTTCAAACAATTATCAACTTGTCTCATTCGTTATTGATATAACGCATTTGTTCAACTTGCATAAATTCATGATGCTATCAATTTTCTTTCATGCAGCTAAGAACTCGGCAGAGTGCGCCCGCGCGCAACACACATGCATACACATGCGCACACGCGCTCGCACACACCCATGCGCCCATCCCCCTTCCGTCCCTAGCGAGCGTACACAACCATTCTCTTATTCTCTTTCCTTCTCCTACGAGTCGCACTATCGATATCAGTTTCTTTCATTCTAAATGCCGATGCCAACTCATCGCTCGGTCTCCCTCATCTCCAACCGACTACACTCTGCTTTTCTTTCATAAACTGCTGAGTACTCGTAAAGAAAGACGAAGCGAGAGGGGCCATTTACAGGTCTCACGCCGTCCTTCCCGGTTTCACTGGAATTACCCCACTCCCGCCTCCCACGGGTCGACAACGAAGAAAGCGAGGATGCCTGCCTGTGTTCTGCTCTCCGATATAGGGGCGCGCACCAGTCTCTTAATGAAAAGAGCTTTGTCAATGGAGTGACGTCAGCCTAGTGCCCATTGGTCGACCTCTCGATGCACCACGTGACTATCGACCAATCTCCTCTATCTGTCTCTGTCTCTCCTCTTCTATCCCTCCTTTGACGACCTCCGTAGCTCCGTGGGCAGATAAATCTCGATTCTGCGCAAAAGTCGCATAGCAAACACATTCGCAGATGTGTGTGTACTGAAATTTTGACTAGGATAAGCCAAGTGGGGCAAAATGAGAATAATATTAATGCAGAAATTGAAACTTATAATTGTCATTTCTCGTGTAAATCTATACGTGGAATGTAAATTGAACTTGTCATTTATAGAGAAATTGCATTTTAGAATGTAATTTAGTACGTCATTATGGTTCTCGTCTTGATCGTCGGTCCTCCTCGTATTTAAATCAACGGACATACTACGGTTTGCCTCAATATAAGACTTTAGATTGACATCTCGGTTTTAGAAGGTCAGCAGAATTCAAAGGCCTGAATATACTACTCAAACATTTTGTCAAGCCTATACGCTTCCATAGCCACTTTATGTCCAAAAAGATCACCACCGCGGGGTTTCAATTCCCAGCTACGGAAGAGAGGGAGTTCGAGTGAAAGAGGAGGAGGAGCGGCGGGAGCGGCGGGGGAGGAGGTGGTGGCGGCTGCGGCGGCTGCGGCAGCGGCGACAGTGACGGCAAGGCGGCAACGGCGGCAACGGCGACAGTGGCAACGACAGCATAGACGAGTGTGCGTGAAAGATGGACGGTCGATCGCTCCAGACTGTATAGTGAGAGAGAGAAGGAGAGATTGACCGAGCAGCTCTCCCACCAGTAACTCCACCGTCCCGCTTCCCGACGCAAGAGTGCGGCGCGTCTTCCTCGAGCCGCCCCACCGAGTGTCTCCTCGAGCGTTTAAGAGGAAGTTTCGCGAAGTCGCGAGTGCCGAGCATAACCGAGCGCAGCCGAGCACCTCCGAGAGGGGATCGATACGACGCGCGCGGCATCAGCGGTGCCGCGAGTAGAGGACGCAACGAATCCTGGAGTCTAGTGGACATCATCGCTGGAGAAATGCCGGCGGGTGACCCAAGCCAACTCGAGTACCATCATCAGTATCATCATCACCACCACCACCACCACCACCACCATCAACAGCAACAGCAACAGCAACAGCAACA